TTTTTGTGAGTCGTGTGGACTCCTGGCACAGCCACTTCAACTTCACATGAGTTCATTTGAATAGCCATCTTATTGAACATTTGCCATGCTGAATCTGGCCATCTCTAAAAAACAGCTTCCTGACTTTCTGGACTTTAAGCGCTTTTTGTGACGACCTTCTTAGTGGAACCTATGATGACAGTTTATTGCAAACGCAGCGCGTTGCCCGCCTCCGCCCAGCCGAACGCGCAGCGTCTGTGGTTCGACTGCAAGCAGCAGAGCTGGTCAAGTGGCGATTCAGGCATGGACAGGTTCTGGTGTCGTTGGACCAATTGATGTCATGGGCCCGCAGGAATCCTCGAGGCAAGGGCAAGGCGATGCATAGGACCAGGAGTGAGTTGCTTGGGTTGGTCGGTGGAGGGCCTGGGCTAGGCGGGCTGGGATGAGCCTTGCTTGGGCGGTCGCTGGTTGGGCTGGGTGTGATGTGAGCAGACATGCCGGTTGAGACAAGTTGGGATAAAAGGCTTTTTTTCGGTGGGCTTGGACATTCTCGGCGCATTTGCAACAAGAAAGGGCCCATGGAGCTGGACGCTGACAAACGCCAAAAAATTCAAGGCCCACTGGACACCCACCCACCCATCCACTCAGGAAGTGAGTAACGCCTTAGTTCTCTCACATGGATCGATTCGCCGATAGGCGGCGGTCGCTGTGGCTCCGGCGGCTCCGCAAGACGGCCAGGAGCGGTTTTGGGGGTGCCCTCAAAATGACCCCTCCCGTCATAGGCGTCCTTTTTGGTTGTTTTGGAAACAATGGCCCTGGTTTACCAGCAGGTTTAATCATCTACCAGGGCCATCTATTTCCCCTTAAAGGACACCTGCCTCTCACCACGCAATCATTGTTTTATTCAAGATGTACGCTTATGCCCTCATCCCTTTGCCAAGCTGGGATGTTGGCCAGTTGTTGCGCTTCCGACGGCAAGTCATGCCATGAAGGCCTGTGGCTACAGTCTCACAGATAGCAGTTGTTGCCTGGCACACAGATTGATGAAGAAAGAGGCTGAATGCCAGCTGCCCACAGACATGCACGACGGTCATTTCGTCGGCCCGCGGAATACTCAGAGCAGTTGGGATGAGCACCATGGGCGCCTTTCTGGAGTATGAGGGGTATGGCTTTAGGACACCGCTGACGGCGAGGTGCCGGTGCCGCCTGAGGACTTGGGGGACATCAGTGGTTTGCCTGCTTCGGGTGTACCAGATGTCACTAGGGCGAGGGAGGGGATTCTAACAAAGTCTGTTTGCACTGTTGCTTTGGGATTGAACGCCCGGCTTGAGTAGGATTTGAGAGCAGGTCCAGAAGCACGGCGCCTCATTGCCAAACCCACGTGTGCTCAACCCTTTGACAGTAGGGCAGTAGGGGTTGTATTGCAACCCCTGTAATTCAGGGTTTCGATTGAGAATCATGGTCGTATGCAATCAGGATGCAGGTTGCAGGAAGGAGTTGGGAGCCTGCCCTTCCTTCCGCTCGTCAGGAAGCACATGCTTGAATGCCCGGGGGGTTCATGCGGTGAAAGTCACAGCGTTCCATGCCATGCGGGACCGATATGTCAAGGTTGATCTTTTTCCCTGTTAGCTTGTTGAGAGGCTGGCCCGTCTTGACAGTGAAGCATCACCTTCCCTAGAGAAAATCCCTGAAACACCAGCAACTTATTGCGACGCAGCCTTGAAGGACGTGCCTCTCAATAACGCACTGGGGTCGCACTGACGTTCGGGATGGTTGGTGAGTGGCTTGCTTGGCGGCCTGGTGCTCCAATGGGTTTGCGGCCTCGATCAAGCTTCAACACATGCCTTTAGCCAAATGGCCATTTGGCCATTGTATATTATGACCCTGCCACTAGCAAAGGACATTGCCATGTGGGGGGTGATCACTATTCGTTTCGGCCCCAAAATGACCATTGGCAACTTGTCCCATTTGGTGAAGTTCAAATCTTTTTTGGTGGTTTCGCTCTCATCCCATGTTTGTGAGACCTTTGGATCACCCCCATGGGTGCAGTCTTCAGGTGGATACGATCGATCAGACCCCCTCCTCGTCGATGCCTCGAGGACCCTTCCGCGGCCGCGGTTTCCGCGGCCGCGGACACCGAAACGGCCGCGGAGATGGCTGAGGCGCGGTCGGCGATGGGGACGAGCTTGACCCTGCGAATGTTGGGTCAAGAAAAAAGCCAGCGGACTGCCTCCAGTAAAAAATCCAGCAGACTGCCAGTTTTAGTTTTTTGTTTTTATGGGGTTCCATTCTGGCAAGGTACATGTGAGACGTGGCGAGTTCAATGGTAGCCTTTGTCCTCTTGGTCCTTTTGATTCACGTCACTGGTTAGATTAAGGGTTCCATTCCGGACTGCAAGTTGCATTTGTCAAAGCTTCCGCCGTGTCTCTCAGATGCCTCCGTTCTTTTGCTTAAGAATACTTGTGTTATTTTCCCATGTTGGTTTTAAAAGGAATCTATCACTTTCTGGACAGATTTTATGTTTTCCTGGGGACTTAGGCAAATGGAGGATGCGGTTCCCACGCGCGGTTGCCAGTCAAAAAAGGCTCGTGGGGTGGGACACGTGGCCTTGTGCCAGGGAGCCGAAGCTTCAGGAGACGGGCGCGGTCAGCTTCTTGTGATTTGCCCGTGGGATGGGAGTCTACAGCAGCCCCCTGCACTCAACTCATGGGGAATGATTGGGTTCAGGCTCTATTGCTGGAAGAAGAAGAAGAAGGAGAAGAAGAAGAGGCACTTCTCATTCCATGGGTACAACATCAATTTGTCGGCTTGATTCCGCTTCTTTCATTTTGACCTGCTTGAGAAATGTTAGCCTCGGTTGACCACGTTGAGCGATATGCGGCTTTTTGGCACTTGAATTGTCTCCACTGTGACTCAATTCTCGCCGACTTTCCCATCGACCGAAAACTGGACACAGGTTGCTTGAATCTTGGCTCGCTGTGGACACATCGGATCGCTGGCAAGCGATCCTGGAGAACCTGTCCAATCGGTCAACCCCCCCCTCTACCCAACTGGTACATTGAATGGTCGATGATGTATTCCTGTTGGACTGGAAGCCGGAATACTCAGAGCCAAGGTCCAACCACAAGCGTGGGCAACTGCATCGCCCGTTGGCAAAGGGCGATCAAGTCCCAGTGGACCTATGCTCTTCTCTACAAAAGGTGAGGTTTTGTTTGCAATGCACCGACTTGGGTTGAATCCGTTCTGGTTGAATGGGCTTTCTTTGACCTCATATTTGAACTCAGTTGTCTTTTATTGCTCGGTCTCTTCTTCTGGCCTTTTTGACCGCACATGACCGTACATCAGTCCTGGTTGGTTTTGGGCCCTGCGCCGGGCCTGCCACATGGATCGCTTCAGGAGCCCAAGCAGGGGGCCCAGTTCGTTGGGGCCAGGAGACAGCTGGCAGGTTTTGCTCCAACTGGTGAGAGCGACGTGGGGATGCTGGAGCCGGGGTTTCAAGACGTTTCAGTCCTAAGAAGAGTTTCAACGCCACTAAAGTCTTTGCAGACACTTCAGCCGTCTCCAAGGTGGAGCCGGAGCCACCGGCGGTCGAGCCTGCGGCCGAGCCGGCGGCCGAGCCGGCAGCCGAGCCGGCGGCCGAGCCGGCGGATCCTGAGCCGGCCGCTGCGGACTACGATGGGTGAGGCGCAGCAAGCTTCAGATTTTGTTTCGCCCGCTTCTGGGATTCCGAACGTGTCCGCTTTGCCTTTTTCCGTGAAACCCACTTAGAGCGCGATTTGTACGATAGAGGAAGCTGGGAGTAAGGAATGGTGACGGGAGGCTCAAGGTTTTAGGTAGCACAGCGGTGTTTTGTTATGTGCCAAGAATGGCTTACTTGTCTGTCAGGCTCATAGATTCGGAGCAGGGGCATCTCCGTTGTGGTGGTTGGCACTGGCATCTTTGGGCTTTGGCGACAAGCGTGTTGTTCAGTATCGGAAGGAGAATGCAGTGGCATGGGCTGGAGTGGGGCTAGACATGACAAGGTCTGAAACACGGGCTTTTGGGGTGTTTGCCAGCCACTGGCATTGGCTACGCCTCCAGGTCATGTTGGGCCCCTCGAGTCCCCCAATCTCATGGCCGTTTGCCGTACCCTGCCCTGCATGTCCCCAACACATCTGCAGCCAACGGCATTAAGATTAGGGACAGCCAAAGCGGCGCCCGCCAGGCATTTCGTGGCTGTTCCACGGAGCCCGTGATCTGGAGGGAGCTGCCGCGGCGGCGGCAGAGCCGTCGCGGCGGCGTGAAAGCGACGGAGTAGGTTTGGCTGATGAATTGATGGGAAGGTCCTCCGTGGCAACCCGTTGCTCGGCAAGTCTTTGGCACGTTGAAGTGAAGGGCCGGGAATTTCAGCGAGCGCAAGAGCAAATCCATGAGGAGGTCGGGTTCATGGCCTCCGATCAAAATCACAATGGAATTCTTTCATTGAGATCCATCACGAAGCATCGGTCAGCCCTAAAGCTTGCGACCGCCCCAAAAGCGGTGATGCCACAGAGGACGTGCTCATCAGATATGTTTCGCGCTCTCGCGGGAAAAAGGGGCTGGCTGGGACGGGAAAGCGCAACTAGGTCATCCATCCCCAAGCTGCCTCGACACCTCTGGGCAAGCACAATTCCATGGAGGGCACCATCGGCCTGACCCCACAACCAGTGATTATTGACTTTATGGCTATTTGGTGGGATCTTTGGACTTTAACTTTTTGACAAACAGTGGATCTTCCATAAAACCCACAAATTGTTGAACGTTGTGCAGAGAGGTCAACAGCAACCAAGTTGAGAACCCTTTGTCCTGACTTGTCTCATTGGGTGTGCTAGGTGTGGGAGCGCTTTTTAGCGCAGGGCTTGCATTGCTTGCTACGACTCCCGCAGAGCAGTAAGCTCACAAGAAGCTTAAGACTGCTTTACCCGCACAAAAGAACACCACTTGAACGCATGAACATGGGAGGAGTGTGCAGTGTAACGCATCAAATCCAAGAGTTCCAGGAAGCCGAACCGTGGCAACCGCTACGTGAGATCGCGTTCAAAACGTGCCGCCATGGCGCGAGCTTGCCGCTGGGCATTGGGAGGGACAGGAGCGAGGAGGCTTGAAGCAGTTGTTACTGGTGCTCGGTTTTGTGGGTGGTTGCGAAATCCAGAAATCACCGTTCAGAGACCCGTACATTCCAACAAACAATGGTTTCAACCGTGATTTCAAAGTGGTGCGACATGGATTTGGTCCATCCACAGTACGGGAACAGAACAATTTGCACGACTGACCGCAAGTGTTCAGTCGAGATATATGGACGCGCGGAGATCAACCCATCAGGAATGCAGGAAAGACAAAAAGAAAGCAGTGCCAATCAAGAAAGGCAGTGGTCTGAATCAGGAAATGACAGGGGAAGAAAAGACGTGTCGTTCGCCAACCTTCAGCGTTCTTCCATGTGTAAGGGTTTGCTGCACACTCAAATGAGGTGATTGGCCATCTCATCATGTCTCCCATGTGCTAACATGTGTGATGCTAGCCTTCCTGTTGCTTGCTTGTGTGTGCGTGTTTCTTGTGGACACTCAAAATGGTGGTTGTCCCTGGTTTCCTTTGACAGCCACCCCAAAAAGGTAGCCTCAAAAGAAGAACCCCCCCGCCCCGAAAATGTGTGTAGAAGAACCCCCCCTGCGTGCGTGGGTGGGTGGGTGGGTGGGTGGGTGGGTGGGTGGGTGGGTGGGTGGGTGGGTGGGTGGGTGGGTGGGTGGGTGGGTGTGTGTGTGTGGGTGTGCGTGTGCGTGTGCGTGTGCGTGTGCGTGTGCGTGTGCGTGTGCGTGTGCGTGTGCGTGTGCGTGTGCGTGTGCGTGTGCGTGTGTGTGTGTGTGTGTGTGTGTGTGTGGGTGGTGCGTGATCGAAGTGCCCAAATGCCCCAATACCACACCCCAAATGGCTTCGCCGAGGTCTCGCGCTGAGCCTCGCATGGCTTGCCGCAGGCCAAGGCCAGAGGGCGATGTCCGGGTCAAGGGGCCGCATTCTTGTGGAGGGTAGCCTTGGGGGTGGCTTTAAGGAAACCAACACTAGGTCCCCCAGCTTGGTGCCCTTTTACCGTTTCTTTTTTGCAGGAGGGTTCCCCTAAAATAGACTACAGAAAAAAGGTACCCTTATTCTATCCTCTCTACTGGAGGACCCAGAACAGGAACACCGATGCCATTGCGGGGATCCCCTAAAAGAAGACACCCACATCAAGCTTAGTCTTCAAACAGCTTCACTGAACCTGAGAAGATTTCGGGAAGGAGAGGGCACCTGCTGTGAACATGGGTCTCAGCCCAAAGACGGCACTCAGAGGAATTCCCTGAGTTGAATGAATTCCCGACGCAAAGGGGGATCCCCTCCAATCATTTCGGCGATTTTGTTGACATTGGGACAACCGATGCGTTTTGCAAGCAGAAGCATATCTACACGCACAATTATTTGTGAACTGCGTGGTGCCCCTGACATGTACAATATGTGTATTGTTCAACACACCAGGTGGTGGGCATACGGTTTGAGACACCTACGTATGGATTCCAAGCACAGGAAAGGGACCATCAGACTGGCAATTGCTGCGTGTGCTTTGGACTGCAAAGATTCCTGCTGGTCGCTCTGTGGATTCCAAGCAACAGTCCCAGGTTTTGAATCACATTCTGGCGGCTATTGTTCTATTGGTCTTGCAGGAAGCTGTGCGTCACAAACACGCAGGCAGTTTCTATTCCAAGGGTACCCACTTGAGTCTTACGCGGCCCTCGGAACCGTTGGCCTCGGACACTTGCCAGGTGACTGGGGGTGCGCCCCACGACCAAACGCTTGCGATGGCCACAGAGAAGCCTGGCGCAACCACCGCTGTGCGAAGTCTGTTGATTTTCTTGCCAGGCCATTTTGTCCCTCTTTCCAGTGCCTTCATCAAACAGGAGCATCAACACGGGGTCCTCTTTTCCTGCACAAACATATTTGTATATTTGTATATACAGGTCATTTGCAAAAGTGCCAAACACGGCCACCCAACATCCCCGAATCCCCTCGACGAGGCGCACCAGAAGGGCGCTTGTTTTGTTGACAGCTTGGATTGATCGGTGCGCACGTGCGTTGGTGCTTTGGCAGACGGGGTTGGCGCAAAACTTTGCGTTTTGTGAGCGAGATGAGTTGCTATAGGTTTCGCGACTTTCCTGCCCATTCATTCCAATTACATCATTGCTGGCATAGGGTGGCCTTCTTGCCCCTCATTGGTATCCAGTGTATGATCACATGTGTTTGCGCGTCGGGAAGATTCATCACAGGCACCATTGCCTGCAGGGAAGAATGTGGGAAGGAAAGTGCAGAGAAGCAAGCGGTTTGTCGAACCACTTGGCTGGTTGATAGTTGGCTAGATGGCCGCTTCGCCTCAGACGATTGCTGAATCGCCTGCGATGTAGATACGGAACATCACCGCCGAGGTGCAGCCAATATCCCCCACGGAAAGTAGATTCAAGAAGCCTGAGCTTTTCTACCTCAACCAGCCCTGAGGTTCCCTTTCCAGCGCCCGGCGCCCGCGCTCAGGAAAGATTGAACCACAAGGCCTCCGTGAGAATGGCCCAAAGTCCGGCGCTCAGTTGTTCCGATGGATCGATGATTTTGGTCAAATGCCGAGGGGACCAGGGAACGAGGGAGCTGAACTTTGATATTGTATGCTCTGGATATGGCTGTGGGTCAAAATTAAACAGGAGGGGTTATGCAGGTTTTGGTCCATGTTTCCACTTACCAGGGTTCCATTTTGGTACCGGTTTTTTGAGCCACAGCCATATAGAGAAAGCCTTCTGCAGCTGGGGGCTCGTGTTCCCAGAAATCTCGCCAGCGGCTGAAGCAGCGGCGGAAACTCGCAACACTGTGCAAGGGAGATACTAAGAGACGGGTGGGCGAATGCGACGCTGGCTTGCCGACAGATACTGAAGGGGGTACAAATTGAACGCCGCGCTATGGGGAGCTTGGCAAACTGGTCCTTTCTCATGGGATACGTGGCAACCATGTACAAGCCGGTTCTCCTATTCACCAGGCCATGACCTATGCAAGGAGTGCTGGCTGCCGCAATCGGCTCACCTTTGTGAATCTAAAGGTACATTAATTGGGGCCCCTGACAGCGGTTGCTCCAGCAAGCTCAGACTAAGCCCCTTTCCCAACCTGATATTTGATATCCACCCTTGTGTTGCCTATGCTGATGGCTAGTGATGTCAGATCCGAAGTGGAACATGCCATGGTCGACTCATGCACGAGTTGGGCCACCCGCGGTGTGAACGTGAACACGGGACTCTCATCGTTCACGAAAGCATTGCGAAGGGCTTTTCAGGAAAAGATGGTGCCGATTACGCAAGTCACGTCGCGCTAGCAAGGTGCATGTGTTACGTGAGAGATGGCTTGAGCAAGTTGCACAAGCAAGTTACATCAGAGGTTGCTAGCGCAAGTTGCGCGAGGAAGATTCACGACAGTTTTGCAAAGTTGGTTGCACAGGAAAGATACCTGATAAGAGATTGCTTAAGCAAGTTTCACGAGAGGTTTTCTGCGGTGTTTAGCTAGAGAAATAGTCCAGTGATTTCGCGCGGCGATTGAAGAAAGAAAATGAAGCTCACAAGTGTAAACTACTCTTTGGCAGAAGGCGGCGGGCCTGCGCCAACTGGGAATTGAGCCCTTTGCGGGGATTCGCGTTTCGATGTGCAAAGACTGAGGGCTTTTGCAACGTTTTAACATCCCCGCCCTCTACAAGCGTGGTCGACCTGCGAAAGCTGTGGGCTTCGCGGCGCTCGCGCGGGTTGGATTTTGCGACCTTTGCGCTCCCCGCGCGATCCTCTGCGTGGCTTGGCGTGACGAGGCGCGAAGAAACTGAAGCTGTTTGCTAGTTTTGCGGCGCACGCGCGACCCTCTGATGTTCAAAAACTGCTGGGGGGGGGGGGGCGTGCTATTGTTGGGCTTGCCCTCTGAGATTGGCGGTTTCCTGGCTTGCGCGCCCGCTCTTTATCACCCTCGGGCTCGAATCCCTTGCTCGGGGCGAGCTTCGAATAGCAGCCTTTATGCGCGAACGTAGTACACAGCTCCGGCTAGAGAATGGCGCAGCCCCGGCTCGAAAACGAATCAGGTACAAATGCGGTGCGCGAAGTACGCTGTCGAAGCTCCGGCTTGAATGCTCAGAGCGAGTTAGCGCGCGAAGTGCAGGTTCCGTGCTTCGAATGTAAAGACTCCTCGCCCACAAAGGACAGCGCCCGCGGGTAGTTCGGCGCTCCTTGCTTTTCTGGGGCACCTCGCCATGACCGTGCGCCGCACAGAGGGAAAAAAGTGAACGCAGTTCTGGCACAAAGAGCGCCAAGCAAGATGCACAAGAGCACCTGCAGTGCAAGTAGCACGCCCAAGGCCAGCGGCAGCCTCTGAGCCCCGCAAAATGTTTCGCAATTGGCACCGGTGCTACATTCGCGCACCTTTTTCTAGTGTGTATTAGATCTTTTTTCGGAGATGGACATAAAGACAGACGGAGACAAAGAGAGAAAGAGAGAGAGAGAGAGAGCGAGAGAGAGCGAGAGAGAGGGAGAGAGAACGTGAGCGAGAGAGAGAGAACACGAGACGGACGAAATTCCAGGTTTGGCTGCACCCTTCATGGTGGACTGGAATGGCGACGGGCTGCTGGAGCGCGCGCCGGGAAGGGGGGGGGGAAGGATGAGGCATGGACAAAGCAGTTAGGGGGCCTCTTTCTTTGTAGTGGAACGCGATATGAAAGATTGATATCAACAAATCAAGTGGACGGGTGTCCACCAGCTGTGGTTGTCGTTGCGACGGCAAGCGATGAGCATATGCATATCTGCATATATATATATACACATCGGATGATGTGCCGGCAGTAGGACGTTTAGATCGTGGGCCTTGGCAGAATTGAGTTGAGTGCTGACGTTAGCAATGCACGTCTGCCCACGGTCAGAAGTTTGGGGTTTGCTAGGGCTGGATATGGACGCTGTAGGGAAGGTAGACATAATGTGGACAACCCTCATTCGGGTTCCGTGGGAACATGTGATTCATATATCACCGTGGCAAATGTGGCCTGAGGCTGGCAAACCTAAGACCCTTAATCATCTAAAAGACTAAGGGCACAGTCTAATAAAACTGAGATGCTACAGATTGAACACAAAACCAGCAGCATTTGCTGTTGCTTTGTACCAACTTCTCGCAGGGCTGGACCAAGCCGAAGCAGAAGTACTGACGTAGCTTTGGTGTATTTTGCTTGAAACTTTTGGCAGGGGAGCAGAAAGCAACCGAGGTAGCGTGTTTGCTATTTCCTTGACAGTCCCTGTCCGAGTGAGGACTTGCTGGTGGGCGAGCATGCTGGGGGGCCCAGCCAGCTTTCCGTTGCCATGGCCATTCTCACCACGCCATGTATTGCTGGTTGCTATGCGGAGCCCAAATAGTGGAATTCAGGTGATGCAGCGACACGCAGCAGGCACTGGACCATTGGCCTAGACATCCATTGTTCAATTTCCAACCTGATACACCTCAGACGGGGTAGTCTGTGGTGGCTAAAAGGAACCAGTGGCTCAAGCGCCGAGAGAGACTAAAATGACTGCGGGTCAAAAGTAGGGTACCCCCAGGAATGGAACCTTGGTCAATGGAGACATGAACTAAAAGCTGCGTTTCTGGTGGTTGAAGTTTGACCCATACCCACATGTTAGATGAAGGGTATCAAGAGGACTTCATGCCACACCACCTTTCTGCATGTCGTGCTTCAACTTCTGCGGTGCTTCGCCAGACCTGTGCCCAGGTGACACGTTGCGTCTCAAAACCTTTGGATTCCAAGCAGCGCAGGCAATTCATCTGCGCAAAAGAGCCGGACGCCGCACCAGAACCACGACATTCTGGGTGTCCCATGCGCTCTTTTGTGCTCAGTGCTCGCCGCAACAGACGAAGACAACTTCACCCAAAGCGAGCAAGCGCAGTGCCAACCAAAATGAGTTTGCTTGTACCCACAGGGATCGCCCTGAGCCCGCTCCACTCAAATCTATTTAGGTGCTGGTGCGAGCCCATACCCTGAAAGAGCGCCGAAGGCGCATCGGAAATGATACTGTGGATGGACAAAATCCTGCACCACTTGGAAACCATGGGAATCCATTGTTTATTGGTATTTACAGGAGATTCATCATTCCAGGTTTCTTAGGTGGTGCAGGATTTCGTCCATCCTAGTATCCCTGTGCAATTCGGCCACTCTGCACCAAGAAAGCAACAACTTTCCCAGGCGACCAAAGGAGACCAAGGGAGTCGGACGTGCACCGCTCTATCACGTTCGAAACCCATACTCGCTCTCGTGTGCCAAAGTTCGATTCCACACCGGGGGCTTGGGTTGGGAACCAGCCATATGGTGACCAGGAGGTTGCAGTAGATGGACCTGCCATGTGGCTGGGTGACAAGTCTGTGCAGGCTAAATCTCAGCATCTTGTTTGGACAACTCTAGATGAAACACGAAGTCACCACTTCACGCGAAGTAATTCGCAAACCCGTGTTATGCGAGAGGGGGATTCAGAGCAAGGAGTTCCACTTGTGACAGTTCCGACGAGTTCTTCTTTGTGTGCAATCCAGAACTTCTTGGCGTTTAGCCATCCCCCTGGCTGTTTAGCTTTTTAGTGTTTAGTGGTAGTTTCCATTCAACCCACTAGAAGTTTGAAGCTTTTAGCCGGGGATCTGAGGGCGTGATGCTGAAGCCTTGTGCATCGCGCCCAGGATGGCACTGTGCGATATTACGAGAAGTCCAAGACGGACTGATCCGCTGACTTTTTGTGACGTCGGGCGGATGGGCCACACCTTGATCCCGGATCCATTCGAGTTGGCTTCTGGCACCTGCCCCTTGCTATTTGGTGCCTTTGTTTCCCAAAGCGTGCCAATTTTTTTCATTCCTCTAACTTTGCCTGAAGTGAGAGTACACGCGTAAATGGTGGTGAGGTGACGTTTCTGCTTTCCGCCAGCGGTTCTTGTTTGTGCTGGCAGCATGCGCGTGCCAACCGCTACTTCGAATCTGAATTGAAGTTTATCGCCAATCCGTTTCCGGAGGCCTCCCCTTTGATTTGCATATGCATGTAGAAAAGCCGACCCTTGTATCCTTTTAGCTTCGCCAGCTAGACAGGGTTCCTATTGTGAGACTCCCCCTGCTTCGAGAGGCTTTTGCTGACGCTTGATGTGTTTTGTTTGTCTCCGCCCCGCAGGACGGCTTGCTGTACCCGAAGCTGGGTAAGGAGAATTCATTCAGTGTCATCAAGCCGATCGCCTACAACGAGACGAAAGGCGCCGGGCGCGAGCGTCGGTGCCGAGTCTCTTGTGCACTTTGAGGGTGTGTGTGTACATGCGGCTGCGCAAATTTCCATTTTCAAGCAACACATGCATATGGAGTTGCAAAGGCCGGTTGGTCATGGTCAAACTGCAATGGCTCGGTCCCTGAGTTGCCTTTCCAACAGGATCTTAGTTGATGATGTCATGAGCAGATTGCCGCTCTGCTCCACAGCTGCACTTGCCACACCTAGCCTCATGCATGAAGCTTTGTAGTGAGTCCCCCTCGCTTTGGCTGGTGACGCAGATTCCGCTGTGCTCACGAAGCACTCGGCCTCTTGGGATAAACTCGGACAGTCATCGTCAAGCCTCTCACCAGGCCTCTGAGAATGTTTTGGGATCATTCTCATCGGTATGTTTTTCCAATTGATTAGCGGCAACATCTTTTGACCAATGGCGTGGTTGATCTCCGCCGAGTCTAAACGGAGCGTTCATGTCTCTGCTCAGTCCCTGCGCCAGAGATTCTGAGCCCAGTTGCCCAGTGGCGCACTTTTCCTTTCTTGATAGGCAGCCCTTTAAAATCAACGGAAGGCACGTGTCCCTTGTACTGATGTTAGTATTTGTTTGCCTCTTGCCTGCAGAACTGCCTCCGTCCTCAAGAATCAACAAGGAGTTTAAACGCGGCTGGAAAAAGAAAGCATCACTGGTACCATGTTGCTGTTGAATTGACATCAAAGCACTGAGTCTGGCGGGTTGCCAAGAACGGGAACAACACCAATGACAATTGTTGGTTAAAGTTTGTCCCTGGCACCCACCTCCACACCTACTTGTCACCTTTGGAAGCCACAATAGCTTGGCTCAAGCCCTGCATGAAACAAGTTTATGAGAGGATATGATGAATGTTGGCCAACCTGGCCCAAGCTCGCTTCGCAGAGTAGATGTGTACTGTGAGGTTGGGAGTTTGAACTCTTGAATGAGCACAGAATCAACGAGTTGGACCACACCCCTCGCAACTCCCCCAGAAAAGCTGGAACCAAACAGTGAAACTAAATCAAAAGAGAAAGGGACCCTTCGAGTCACGCCTTCCTTTTTTTGTTTCATGCACCTTGAAAGCATGCTTTTCGAACATCAGATGGCTGGCGTGGTTCTTCACAGAAGGCTTTTGGAATCCAGCTTGGCTTTCTGCTTTCGCAGAAAGCCGAAAAGGCTCGAGAACAATTAAACCAGAACAACCACATTTTTCCAGGGGAAAGGAGTTTCACAAAGTCCAAGAAACTTTACAAATCAAACCAAACACCAAGTAACAAAACAGTCTGCCAGGGGAAAGGTGGGGCAACCCAACCATTTGCCTCAGATATTTGCTTTTGTGTCATGTTTTCAATTTTCCAGAGTTTTTGTTTGTTGTTGAGGGGGAGCACCTTTCTCCTGGCTCATTGTGTGTTTTCTTTATCCTTTATTCTGATTTGTGGTCAATTTGTCTACGCCTTCTCTCGGCTAGGTCTTCACGTATTGGTTTTCGGATGCTGGGCTGCGGTAGTTCTGCGGCTTCCGAACACTTTTGCTTGAAGGCTTTCTGATTCACGCCCAGAGATTCCAAGAAAGCAGAACTCAGAGACACTTGGCTTTGGTTGTCAAAACCGTTTTGGGATCCCATTTTGGGGTGTGAATTCACCACCCATTTTAGGACCTATTTTAGTGGTTGGATTGGGATGTTCACTAGGGGTACGATTCGGATTTCGACTCAATCCTGGCCCTCAAAGCCCTGAGTAGCGTTAAATTCAAAACACTTTCAAGAAGCCTTTGATTGAACATTCCCCCAGATTAAGCACTTTCAAACCACTTCCATATTGAGACCCTACTGGTTTGCTACGAGGAGTGCCCAATTCGATCTTTTTTTGTCTAGCGCAGCACAATGCCAGGACACATGCTGAAAAAGCCCGCTACTTTACAGTGTTTTACCAAGGCACGTATTCATTTTGTTTGACACACTTTCCTTTGGCTTGGCTCAGTCCGTAGTTGATGAAATGTTGAATGGGTGTCGAAAAGGAAATTTGACTCATTCAAAATTGTGTTTGATTCCAATTTCAAATTGCAATTTTAGCAGGAGTGTTCTCCAAATTTGTGTTATGATGGGATTCTATCAGAACCGGAGTCGAAGCACACAAGAAAGTAGTCTGTTAGACATGACCGTTGGTTTGGGTTTGAAACCGCAATTTAAGTTGCACCAGGAATTCCTTGCAGCATTTGATTTTCATCAGAGTTCAGCGAACAGCTAGACCAGCAAGATACTATTTAGATAGGATTTGCTTTCCAACATTGTGTTTTCTGATGAATACAGAATGTGTTTGGACTGAAAATTGCATTATACGAGGAATGGAATACTTTTGTGGGTGAACTGTATTTCGAATTCGCTTGTGGAATCCGTCTGCATGACATAACTCATGATGCATCGCGGTTCTGCGCGGAAGCCTTGGACCATCCAAAGGAGTCTCTAAGTTTCATGGCCGCCTGTGGAATGGACGTACCAAACGAGCCTTCGAATTCGGGGATGGGTTTTGAGTGGGCGCCCGAATATACCGCAAGTTGCCATGGGGAGACCGCAAAAGCTGAGGACCTGCTACTGGCCAGGCACCAGTTATTGCGGATGGTTGCAACGTAATGATTCGATTCCCCCGTAAATACCAACACACCTTATGGTTTCGACCGTGGTTTCAAAGTGGTGCAAAATGGATGTCGTCCATACACTGTACCACACCTAGACGCCTGATACAGGGATGGGCTAGGAGTGGGTATGTACCCTGTATGCCCTATGCTTTACTACTGATCTGGGGCTGGGTCCATTTGGGGTGTGCCAGTTGGTTCTTAGAGCCTCCAAACGAAGCGAGCCGATTCACTTTGTGTCCGGTGCGCAAAACATGAACCGAAAGGTCGCGGAAGTCTGTAGATACGTAAGGCTTCACTGTTCGAGCCAAACATCTTAGCCCATTTAGCCTTGTTGCATTGAGAGGGGGACCTCCTGAGTCGGATAAGTTGGTCGCGGTAGGTCACGGCGCGGCGGCGCCGCTGTTGGTGGATTGGGATGGAGATGGGCACTTGGAGCTTCTGGTGGCAGCGGGAGGCCGAAGCGGGCCAAGCTGACCGATGGGAGGGGGAAGGTGGGGGGGTAAGGTGGGGGGAAGGTGGCATTGGAGCCAGGAGAGTGTAGTCATCAAGATGTAGGAATGTATGGGTCTGTCGTTTTTGAGACTTTTTGGGTTTGAAAGGTTTTTAGAGAAGGTCCTTGTTTGGAATTGAGAGGGAAACTGAGAGGAAGCCACGAACCACTTTTGGGGTGATCCCCTATTTCGAAACAAAGCCGCACATGTTGCTTGCAGATTGTGGTTGGATGCGGATCATGTTGCGGTGATGGGTTGCTTCATGTTTGAGTTGTTGAGCCCGGCACGGAGGTGACCCCAAGTGTTCTCTCAACTTCCCGGGTCCTGTCACCTTGCCACTTTCCGCAAGCTCACCGAGTCCCGGGGGAATGAAAAGGAACTGGAATGACCCCGCGAAAAACCATCCAAGCGATTTGGTTTTAAAGGGAATATCCAGGTTCATTCCCAAAGCCCGGAAGGTTTTCCCGCACCAGCAAGTCTTTGCTAGATGTTTCTTTGGCAGATCTGACCATCAACAAACTAAGCAAGCAAATCCAATCCTCAAGCACGACTATCCACAACAACCAATAACTATGGTGAACAAACACGCAGGTCCGTGATGTTTATGCCCATGTCCCGAGGTACGCTGCGTCAACAGGGCGATGCAACATGGCCAGGATTGTCTTTTACTAAAAGTAGCATGTGTTTTCGCAGTGCATTCCAGTTGCATTATGTTTCCTAGGCTTTCTCCCGTGCCATCACGAGTGCAGGTCTTTGATTGCTCTTTCCCTCTTTCCTTCTTTCTTGCTTGCTTGCTTGCTTGCTTTCTTTAATTCTTTCTTTCTTGCCCTCTTTCCCTGTTTCCTTCCTTACTTCCTTCCTTGTTTCTTCCTTGCGTCCTTCCTCGCTTCCTTGCTTCATTGCTTCCTTGCTTCAGTGCTTCCTTGCTTCCTTGCTTCCTTGCTTCCTTGCTTCCTTGCTTCCTTGCTTCCTTGCTTCCTTGCTTCCTTGCTTCCTTGCTTGCTTGCTTCCTTGCTTCCTTGCTTCCTTGCTTCCTTGCTTCCTTGCTTCCTTGCTTGCTTGCTTCCTTGCTTCCTTGCTTGCTTCCTTGCTTCCTTGCTTCCTTGCTTCATTGCTTTCTTGCTTCAGTGCTTTCTTGCTTCATTGCTTTCTCGCTTCCTTGCTTCCTTGCTTCCTTGCTTCCTTGCTTCCTTGCTTCCTTGCTTCCTTGCTTCCTTGCTTCCTTGCTTCCTTGCTTGCTTCCTTGCTTCCTTGCTTGCTTTCTTGCTTCCTTGCTTCCTTGCTTCCTTGCTTCCTTGCTTCCTTGCTTCCTTGCTTGCTTGTTTCCTTGCTTCCTTGCTTCCTTGGTTCCTTGCTTCCTTGCTTGCTTCCTTGCTTCCTTGCTTCCTTGCTTCCTTGCTTCCTTGCTTCCTTGCTTCCTTGCTTGCTTTCTTCCTTGCGTCCTTCCTCGCTTCCTTGCTTTCTTGCTTCAGTGCTTTCTTGCTTCCTTGCTTCCTTGCTTCCTTGCTTCCTTGCTTCCTTCCTTGCTTCCTTGCTTCCTTGCTTCCTTGCTTGCTTGTTTCCTTGCTTCCTTGCTTCCTTGCTTCCTTGCTTCCTTGCTTCCTTGCTTGCTTCCTTCCTTGCGTCCTTCCTCGCTTCCTCGCTTCCTTGCTTCCTCGCTTCCTTGCTTCCTTGCTTCCTTGCTTCCTTGCTTCCTTCCTTGCTTCCTTGCTTCCTTGCTTCCTTGCTTCCTTGCTTCCTTGCTTCCTTGCTTGCTTCCTTGCTTCCTTGCTTCCTTGCTTCCTTACTTCCTTGCTTCCTTGCTTTTTTGCTTCCTTGCTTCCTTGCTTCCTCGCTTCCTTGCTTCCTCGCTTCCTTGCTTCCTTGCTTCCTTGCTTCCTTGCTTCCTTCCTTGCTTCCTTGCTTCCTTGCTTCATTGCTTCCTTGCTTCCTTCCTTCCTTGCTTGCTTCCTTCCTTCCTTCCTTCCTTCCTTCCTTCCTTCCTTCTGCGTCCTTCCGTCCTTCCGTCCTTCCGTCCTTCTGCGTCCTTCCGTCCTTCCATCCGTCCTTCCGTCCGTCCGTCCTTCCTTCCTTCCTTCCTTCCTTCCCTCCTTCCTTCCTTCCTGGCTTCCTTCCTTAGTCCTTTTTATTCCCGCGCTACATGCAAATTGATGTTTGGTAGAAACCAACAATCACTGGAACACGATGTAGGGAACTCACAACTAAGCAATGACACAACCGTAACTAGTTTCGACGGTGCCTTACATATTGTCTGTTCGGGGTTGCTTGAGTCCCGCTGGAATTCGCCTGCTGAAATGAAACCATAGGAGACCCGCCATTTGAGGGTGCTTAGTCTGGGGATCAGTTTGAATACCTAGGTCTGCATGAAAACCTACGGACACTATGCGTATTGCAAAAGCTGATGTGGGTTCCTGCAAGTTTGGAGGTTTGCTGCTTGGGTGGTGTGCCGGTGTGGTGGCTTTCTAGTTGTGCGGCTTGGTGGTGTGGTGATTTGCTGGTGTGGTAGGTCTGCAAGGCTGACTTCTTCCCTCAAACGATGCAGGCAGGATTCGGTACTTCAAGATCAAAGAGGGCGAGTTCGAGGAACAGCTCGGCAAGAAGAGCCCCTTCAAAGACATCCACATAGGCGCGGAACGGGACCTGTGGGCCTGTGGGCGCGGGGTTCAGAGGATGCGTTGACACCATGAGCCGATGGCTACGCATCAGTACTTCAAAAGACCAGAGGGCGGCATGCCCCAGTTTGCCGGCTCAAACTAGCTCAGCTGGCCCCCGCCAAATTGTTCCGGGCACCTCGGCTTCCGATCAATGATCATGATCCGCTGGTTGCTTGCCAGGGACCAGGGACAGCTGGGTGTTTCTACAGAATTGGGGACCCCATCAGGGTAGGTGGTGTCCTCTTGGTGTTGCTTTGAACCCATCCAAACACAATTGCGTTTCCTATTGTGAGAAACCAACTGTAGTTTTTCCCCAAATAGGATAGCTGAAAGCTATAGGGGTTCGAACTTCAAGTAAAGAACGGGTGGGTGAGACTCAGAATTCCTGCCAGGTGCTGTTGTAGGGTGCTGTTGCAAGTGCTGCTGTTGCAGGTGCTGCTGCAGGCTGCTGCAGGCCGAGACTCAGAGTTGCGCAGGGGCTGCAGGGTGTTGCAGGGTGCTGCTGCAGGGTGCTGTCGCAGGTGCTGCTGCAGGCGAGTCAGAGATTGACAGAGTGCTGTTGCAGGATGCTGCTGCTGCTGCAGGGTGCTGCTGCAGGGTGCTGTTACAGGGTGCTGCCGCAGGCTGAGACTCAGAGTTGCGCAGCCGAGACTCAGAGTTGTTGCCAGGTCCGGCGCCGTAGTCTTCCCGGAGCGCTTTCTTCTAGCTACCATCTTGCGGTTGCCAAGCCGTTGAGAGGCGTCGCGTTAAGCAAAGCCAGCAGAACATCGGCTCTGATAGGCGGCGCGCTAAGCAAACCCACCAAAACTCCGTACCAATGTTGCGGCATGCTAGTGCAGATTGCGGTAAACGAATTGCCAGAGCATTTTGGTGTGAGAAGTGCTTTGGCCGCTCTACCGTGGCATGGCACGTTATTGGAATGGGCATCTTTCGTAAGCAAATGTTTGCTATCTGGGGTCTATGCTGGTGTAATTCTTATGGCAGTCATGAAGCCAATCAGGCGCTTGGCCCCCATGCCCTCACTTCCATCATTGGTCGACCGATCCTTTCGTCATTTGCTGCTCGTTCAGTTCCTGCGGTAGTTGGGTTTGCCTCGCGTGCCTCATGTGTTTTACGTGTTTCTGTGTGCCCCCGTGCTTGATTTGTTCCTTGTCCTTGGTGGCTTGTTTGGTTGTTTTTCAGCTAGTGTTAATAACGTTTTTTTGCTGGCTGCTTGTTTGTTTGCTTGTTTCGTTGATTTGTTGTTTGTTTGTTTGTTGCTTGTTGGCTTGCTTGCTTGCTTGCCTGGCTGCCAGCTGGCTTGCCTCCGGTCGTCGCCAGGCTATGTCGCGCCGCGCTTCAGTGCGGCTGACTGGGACGCAGATGGCGACGTGGACCTCATCGTGCCCCGGGGAAGGCGAGATGGCGCTGCTGCCCGCGGTGTTTGCGCTCAAGATTCGGTGTCTTCGCTTTCTTTGCCCCTTTCCGTTGAGTGGGGTGATCGTACGAGTCGTAGGCAAGATAAATTTTCAAATTCAGGCTTACATGTTGACCCAAGCAATTGCCATAGGCATGTTGCCAAGCTCTTGAGCCACACCTTCGGGTCGCGAGCGGCAAGTCTGAAGTCAACGGACAGAAAAGCATGGCCAAACTGACCGTGGACCAAACAAATTGCAGGGATGATGTGCGGTTTTCCTTGGGGAAGCCTTAAATGGAAGTCGACCCGAATACGTCCCGTATCCGATGTTTGGCCACAATCTCTCATTTTTGTGCTTCGGTGTCGCTTCAAGGCATCCGAAGCCTGGATTGGCGCTCGATGTTTGGTTTTGGGTGCTTTCCCTTGGTTTCTCCTTGTGTTTCTTGGTTTCCATTGGTTTTCATTGATTTCCATTGGTGTTTCTTCCTTGTTTTCCGTTGGTTTCCACTGGTTTCCGTTAGTTTCCATTTGTTTCTCTTGATTTCCATTGGTTTTGCTTGCTTTCCATTGATTTCCACTGGTTTCCACTGATTTCCATGGTTTCCATTGGTTTCCCTTGGAGTTTCCCTTTGTTGAGTGGAGATTGCACACCTCTGGTGCAGCAATGTGACTTGACCAAAAATGTTTTTGTTTGGTGGACCTTTGATACGCACCCTTTCAGCTTTTGTAGCAGAATGCAAGTCGTCAGTGGATTGCCTAGCGATGCTTTGTATTCCTCCCATTTCAAGAGCTTCGACTGACAACAGCGTATGATTTGACATCAAGCACAATAATGCTGAATGATGGTCCCTTTCCCTCGCGATACGTCCTTTTGGAATTGCACCATGCGTCAACGGGTCCCGCATCCTTTTGCGTGTTGCGCATCACGGTTGCTGAATTTACAGGGCATCCCACAGTGCGTTGATCGAGACCAATATTCAAAGGGAACAGATGATGACAGTGCTGGCAGCGGGTGGGCCTCTTTTCCCACTGAAAGAACGGAGCTCCCAGAAGGCTGGAGACAATCACATGAGACATTATATTCCACCGAACGCTTGTGGAGGATGGGCCCAATCTTCGTGCAATCATAGTAACATGCCGCATTTGTGGGTGCACAGCTCAGCTATGGAGCCCATTTAAAGATTACCGCCAATCTCACTGGTTTTCACCGTGTTGAAGCCTACCTGTTTCAGAGCTTCACCTGGGGGTTGATCAACATTCCTGGCCCCAAATGACTGTTTGACATGTCATTTGTGTCTACCCAGTAGTGCCCTTTGACCCTTTCTTGGGGGAGGGTTCCCATACTAAAATAGACTACAGAAAAAAAGGGTTCCCTTATTCTAACGACCTAGTTGTAGTGATTTTCCCCTTATTCGTCATCGCATGCAAAGGACCACTTGATCAGCTTCGTGTGGCAGGTCTGATCAATGGGTGGTGGGTTCTTGCCAGGAGCCTGGCTTACTACGAGCAGGTGAATGGCACACTGGTGGAGCGAACTGGGGACTTGAACCCCTTCGATCACGCCACTGAGACTGTCCGGATACATTTTTGCTTGAAATCTTTCAAGGGTGCTGCAGGTAACCCTTGGTGCTTGGAATTGGTGATTTGGATTTGGATTTTACCTTCTGACATGTCTAGCTAGTGACGAGATCTCAATCACTGAGTTGCTCCAGAAGCACTTGCCGGCACGCGGATACCAGATGAACCAATGCGTCCTTGCCTGGAAGTGCATTCACTATTCCAAGCCTTTGCCAATCTAACTTGTTACAGATACAGATATGTAGCTTGTCTGGTAAACATGTAGATGATTTGAAGATGGGCCACGTTGCATTCCGAATCCAAGTTTAGCGGCATTTTGTTGGTTTTGCTCTACAACCATTCGGAAACAACCAGACAACTATCATTGGGAGCCGCACACCGCGCGAAAACAAACAAAAGAAAGAGCCACTTGCGGAAACTCGCTTGTGCTAGGTATCTAGTTGTTTTGCGTCTTTTTAGGGCTTTTCGGCTTTTCATCATGCCTTCTCAAGGAAGCCGACTTGCCCGAACTCATTTTCTACTGTGTCTACCCTCTCCCATTTGTATGGGTCAAAGTTTAAACCACCAGGGGGCCGCAGGTTTTGGTCCATGTTTCCACTTACTAGGTTTCCATTTTAGGGTTCCGATTTTTGACCCACGGCCATATTGAAACTGCACAGCTGCCATGGTCATGCGTGGAGCATTCGGCCAAGCATTTTCTTTATTGTGTCTCTCCCATTTTCCAAGGTGAAGGGGGAGTTCATAGACAACGCCCGGGGCTGGGACGGCACCTACGGCGCTCCCTGGGCCGTGGACTGGGATGGCGACGGCGCCTCGATCGGAAGGAGTCACAGATTCCCTCCAAAAGTCCAGTTGGGTATGGGTCAAAGGTAAACCACCACAACAACCGCGGGTTTTAGTCCTTCATTCCATTTAGGGCAACCCATTTGGGGTACCTAGTTTTGAACCACAACCAGTTCGTGTCCATAAAAAAAGGGCGTCAGATCCCAAGAACGGCTTCTTGAGCTAGAGTGGAAACTGTAATTAGTAGGTTCACAGTTTCTGGAACGTCACGTAGACCTCAGCTTGGCCGAATTAAGTGGAAATATGGACCAAAACCTGCCGTCCCCTGGTGGTTTAATTTTGACCCATACCCATATAATATATTGCTTGTCCAAGACACGATTACAAGGCGCGCTCAATCATGGAGCTCCTAAGAGGGGTGCCAGGATGGGTAACTAGGGGCGGACAGGGGGCGTTGCAGAGGCAACCAGCTGAAATTTTGAGTGCCTCCGGCCGATCCATTTGCTTCTCCGAGGAGGGAGCTACCAAGCAGATTGTGCGCCGTCCATTGCCTATTCTCCAGGTCTCCCTAGGCTTCCCAAGGCCGAAGTTGCCCTTTCCCAAAGTCCCCAAGGCTCCCTGAGCTTCCGCTGCAGTCTCGCCGAATTCTTGGTTCGCAGCCGTGATGTGAGGGGCAAAGCCATCGCCTAGCCCAACCCAACCTAGACAAACAAAGCGGAAGGGAACCTAGAAATGTTGGGCGTCTTTAGGGGCTGTTGGGGAGGGAGCGCTAGGGTTTGTTAGAGAGCTCTAGCAAGCGCTAGGGAAGCCCCTCAAGAACTCCAAAATTGAAGAATCATGCTGTTTGTTTGCGGATGCCCAGTGAAATATCGTTCACAAACTCATCCCAGAGGAGTAATTCATCAACCGGGCCGCGTGAGACACATAAACCAAATAGCTTGAGTGCTTTCCAGAGCTGCTTTCCCCCCGCCTACACCTCGACTCCTTGAATTGCTGCCTTGGCATCCGCTGCGAAAGCCAAGGTGACATGGAGACTTGGCCGGTGCAGGGGCTGGCGCAAAGGTGGGTGGTTTCTCCAATTGGCAACTTCTGGCGCTTCACGTGTTCCAGCGCCAAAAGTAGTTGTAAGTAAGTGTCTCAGCTGAGCCCAAACACGGGCATGCAAGGCCCTATGGATGGCCTGGCATGCTGTCATGAGGGCAAGTGAAGGACGTCCGACCTCCGATTTCAATCCGGCGCCAATGACTGGCAAGGGTGCCACGTACTCTAGATCGCTCTAACATGAAACGTCGAACAAAACCAACCGCAACAACAGACAAAACGGTTTGCTGACAGAGCTAACATGACGAAGCATTCGTCCGTCACCGCTTTTGCCATGGTGTGCAAAAGCCCTCGGGCTCCCCAGTCAACATTAGAAGTTTAAGGGCCTTTGCTTGCAAACATGTCGGAACGACCGAAATCCTGCACCGCCTTTTGTGAATGCAAACAACATTGAAAAGGGGGAGCGAGGTGCGCAGCTTGTTCAGTGGCAACACGGAGTTGGGAGAGGTGCAGGATTTCGATCGTCAACCGTTGAACCTGCAGCACCTCCGAGCCATTCACAGTGTGTAGGGCCCTCCAACAAAGGACCAAGGATTGTCAACAAATTTCTGCCCTCGTGAAGCCAAGCTTCAAAGGTTTGAGGAAGAAGCGCACTCTGAGGATCTGATCTTCGGTCAAGTGGACGGCCCCTTGGCAGAGCTTTGCAAGTTGCGCTGATGTCCGCCTCATACCAACCTGCTGGCCAAACAGCAAAGGGTGTTGGACAGTCCCTCCAAATGCACCACTGCATGTAGATTCGCAAAACAGGGGTCATGTCCTGTTTAAACAACTTGAGATTGGCCCCTGGACTCCTAGGTAACTTGGCCAATCCTGCAGGAGTTTCATTCTTCTTCCTGGTGCATGGCGAGCTCAATTTGAGGTAGAAAGAGCTCGGCCGACCCTGTAACGTGGGCGTCTAATTCCAGGGAGTTGAATCGTTCGCACGTTTGACGAGTTTCATTGCCTCCTTTTTGAGCAGTGGGGGTAACGATTTTGACGAGCTCGCTCCAACGAGAAATCGCCTCCAACCTGAAGGCACTGTCCTCTACTTCGAGCGCCTTAACAACGCGCACCTGGCACAGAGAATGGGCACTGCGAACCCCTTTTCCAGGAGCTGGGCAGTGAAGTCGGTTGAGAAAACGTGTTGCCAACCGAGAGCCCTTTGGGGGGGTTTCTCAGGGTATAAAATTCATACTTGGCAATTATTCAACTCCCAGCAGCGAATTTTCCAACTTGAGAGTTGTTGTGATGAAGAGCAAAGGTATTCATATTGAAGTTGCCAGTCGGCTTTCCGCCTCCATGGATTTACGCTGTTGGGGTATGACGCGATGCTGGTTTTGAGAGGTCCCCCAAAACGAACAGTTGCTGAAGTTGTATGTATCAGGCATCTTGTGTTTTGCAGCCTTTGTAGGTGCTCGGTAAATGTAAGATGTCTTCAAGCAGAACCGAATGGGAACCCCTCCCAAATGGGTGGTGGACATAAATCCCCACCTAAATGATGTCCACCAGAGGGCCCCTAATTATAATCCATACCTACATGACTTTTCTGTGAGTCTTTGCATTTTCAGCTTGGGCACAGGCGCTGAGATGGTGGATGTTGCAATTCTCCTGGCTGGTGTTTAAAGGGAAGCCCTAAAGCCAGAGGAAGTCATTCATAAGGGTCCTCTTCAGAAAAGCATCTCGCGATCGCGAGGATTCAGCAGGGCCACTTCGCTGCAGTGCAGGCCATTGACTACAATGGCGATGGGCTTATAGACGTGCTTACAGGCAACCAGGCTCGGGCTGGGCAAAGCTGGGCTGCCTGACCTTCCGCATGACATGGTTTCGACCGTGGTCGCGCCCACTGATGTGACTTAAATTAAAAGTGGTGGGGTCCATTGAAAGTGGCTGGCTACTCAATTGGCTGTGGGTTAAAGAAAAAGTACCAAAAATGGAGCCCTGGTAAATGGACACATGGACAAAAACCTGCAGTCCCCTAGTGGTTTGATTTTGACCCACACCCAATTACATTTGCCATGATGGGGATGGCCTGCCCACGGATTGGCATTCGCGGTCCGTCAGCGCGTCGCTGCAGTTTGATACATGACATTGTTTGGCGCTGTGAGAGAGAGCCGTGAGCCCTCACGGCGAGCTCGCTTCGATTTCTTTAACATGCTTTTGTCTCGCCATCTTCCACATATTTGTAATTGTTAGTGGGCTGTGATTTCTCCATGAATAATGGCTGCCAAACGGCTTGGGCTTGGCAATAAATGATTCAAGGCAGACCACACAGTTTGCATGTTGCAGGACGTATTTCAACACTCAGCCTTCTATGTACAGAAGCGGGGGGCATTGATTGTTTCATGGCCAGTGGCTCACATTCGCCTGCAGGACGGCGAGGTGGCTCTCTTTGCCCGCGAAAGGGACGTGCACTTGCAAGAGAGGAAGGGCATTGCCAACCCATTTCAAGACATAGGCGCGGCTGACGCGCGAAGCCCGCGAAGCGCGCGGCTGGGTGATGTGGGATGTAGACTTGAGGGCTCAAGGCAAATGAGTCGCTTGCTGAAAAAAGAATGGTGCTTGGAGGGTAAGGGACAATCCCAGCCAGAATTAGGTGTGGATATCCGCCTTTGTCGTTCTTTGCATTGGGTTGGGTAGGCCATTTAATAACAGCTGACGGGATACAAAGTCATGTCGCTGGAGGACTTTGTGCTCATTTCAGGCGGCAGGCATGTAAAAGCCCAGTCCGGGGATGCTGCGAACCTGGGGACAATGCGTGCTTGAGTCATGCTCGGTCAGCTCAGCTTTGAGAGAGGCTGGTCCACAACTTCACCCGCCAAAGATCTTGCGATCCGATAGTATGAGCCTTGCAGTCAGTCCTTTGCTTGTTGGCAAAGGCATCAGCAGCTTCTTGCCACATACTATTTCATCACAACAGAAGCATTGAATTCGCATTAGCTGTGATTTCCCTTAGCGAGGCAGGTGTGGATGTGCCAATGTTCAAAAGCCCAGCCAGCTACCACGTGTGGCAGAAATTGTGTTGCCTGGCCTGTATGAATTGACACGTAAATGACACGCCAAGGCATTCAACGACGGACTCAGTAAACCTGGTTCCCAGCCATCACCTTGGCGTTGCGATGCGTTGTGATGCGCTGTAGCTGTTTAGTTGGATTGGTTGGGTGTCCATTTCGCCCACAGGGGATCTGACACCAGACAGCTGAGTCGCTGCTGGAAGCTCCTTGGCAACTGGCCGCCAGGGGCGCTGCCCAGCGCAGTGCCCTCCGCGCTGCTGGTGGACGAGGAGATGTCGGTGTACTTCATGCCCGGAAACCCGGCGCGTAGAAGAGCACCTGCACCAGCGCCGGGGTGAAGGGAGGGGTGGTGGGGTGGGGGGGTGGGATGGTTGGAGGGGGGGGGGGATGCGGGGGGGGGGGGGGGGTTGAATGGGGGGGGGGTTTCCGTCCGCGTAACGACCAAAGCGCGGCGAGAGATGCGGGCTTGGCGCGAAAGGTGACTTTGACCCGGAGGGGTGTGACTGGGGAGGGGGTGACTGGCTGCTTTTTTGGGATGAGTTGATTGTTCGGGCGTGTTGGTTCTGATGGTTGGGTAGAATTAGGTGCACGTGCTTAAACATACTGCAAGTTGTGAATCCTGAGCTGGCCCACAGTAGGGATAGAGGAATTGCGCAGCTACCGATTCCCTGGCTCTCATCAGGAAGCACAAGTCCAAAATGGCAGCATGCCATGCATGTCATGCTCGTGCCATGAGGATATAAGCACCGGCTCGTTGATTTAAGTTTAGTCTCCGCAAACGAAAGAGAACAAGCGTGGGAAGCCGCCTTGTCAGCTAGAAAAACGACAACCCCGAAACGGACACAACCTCAACTGTTCCACTGTTTGAGACGCCTACCAACTGTTGGCAGGTTCCAAGAGACGAACAGGGGGCACGTGATGCTTTTCAAGCGCCTGGAGGACGGCCGCGCCTCGGCTTGCTTTGCCAAGCGTTCGGGTCCGAAGGAGGTCGAGGGCAGTTTAGTTGATTTGAGGCCGACTGAAACGCCTGAAAGTCAGAAGTATTTGGGGAGCAAACTTGGGCCAAGTAAGATTTAGATGGTTGGAAGTTTGGTGGTTCTTGAACCAAGTGGTGTACACCATATCAACAAAAAGGCCAGGGCTTGGGATTCATGATTCATGGGTGGAATCACATGATGCACGCCCTCGCACACCAGCTGAAAAAGGAGGTGGGGGTGCAATTTTCTCATCATTCCATTGATTGCTGGAGGTTTGGGGGGTTTTCTGGGGGGGGAGGGAGTGTTCGGGTGGTGCAACTTGAACCTACGAATTCCGTGCACCCCAAGGCTTTTCCGAGGCGCGCTCGCTCCGAGGTTTCCAGAACCTCACCAGCGATCGCCCTCCCTCGGTGGCCATGGACGCAGTGTGGCTTCAAGCAGGCGATACGCGCGGGTGACACGTGCACCGTTTGGACAGGTCTTATCGAGGGGTCTGGGACCTGAATTCTGGAATGTCAAGCTTGGAACCCGCACAAATGCCCCATGCCATTTTTACCATTACACAATTTGGTGTGTCTCAAAACCGGGAGCAACTCCCCCTAGTGTTTTCAAGGACCCCAAATGAGAAGCCTAAGTGAAGCCACACGCTGATGGATCGCTTATAAGTTTGACTTGTCAGTTGCAGGTTTGGCGGTCTCAAGCCAGGGCGCCAGCTGGTTTAAGCTTCACATGGTTCATGCGACGATGTTTTGCTGTCTGGGTCCTGAGTCAACCATAGAAGGCCAAACAACTGGCGGATATCCTCGCTTCTTTCCAGCGTGAAGGTGGATCACTTGGCCGCTTCCCAGGAAAGTCTCTCAGATGTATCAATATCCATAGCATGGATTGCCTGATGGTTGGCAATCTGAGTCTCAACAGCGGCAAAAACACGAGGCGTCTCATTCGAGGCGTCTCATTCGCAGGCCAGGCACAGTACCTCGACTGGAACGGCGACGGCCTGGAAGACATGCGCCTTGGCACGGAAGACCTGGTCGTGCGGAAAGCTTTGGGTCAAAGTATGAAGATGCTTAGACAGGTGCCCGTCAGTTCCCTTGACCCTGAAGATCAGAGATCCATGGCCCCTGGTTTACACAGATCCTGGCTGGCAAAGGAGCCACCTCATGACCACAGAAACAAAAAGCGTCGGGCTTTGCTTGGCGGCCTTTGCATGCAGGCTGGTGATTTATCACAACGGCACAATAATCTACCAGGCGGGCTGGGCTCGGCGGGCTGGGCTCGGGCTGCCGGGCAGGATGTCACGCAGCAAGATTTCCTGCATGTCACTGACTCATTGCACATTTGGGGCTTGACAACAAGGTCCTCTACATGAGATGACCATCGGGGGAAACCACCCAAAAGATGACACTTCAACCACGAAATGGTTGAACAGTTACCCATAGTCAAAACTGCGGGCCCTAAAATGGAATATTGATTCAACCCCCATTTAGTTGCCCATTGTTTTGGAAACCCCTCTAAAATGGGGATATTGATCAAACTTGTCGTTTGAACCCCCTAAAACGGGATATGGATCCAGCCCCATTTCTTCCGCCACCAACCGCCGGCCCTGGCTGCAGGAGAACCGCGACGGCGCGCTGGTGGAGCTCCAGGGCCCGGAGAACCCCTTCGACGGCCTCAGCTTCGGCTCCGCCTTCTCGGACACCAACGTCTCAGGCGCGCGTTGGGGTTGCGCGTTGGCTTTGAGGGCGTGGAGCCGTTTTTTGCTTCTGTTTCTTTTGGCTGGTGGTCAGTAGGTAGGGAATGAGACAAGGGAATGAGCCGAAAAAAGACTTTCAACTGGTGGTTTCCTTTAAGGGGCGGGCGCACGTTGAGGGCGTTGCGGGCACACGTGGGCGTTGAGGGCGTTTTTGTGGGTGGTGCCCAGTAGCGAAGATGGAATGATGTTGAGCCGTCTTTTTTTTCTGGCTGGTGCAGTGGGTAGGGAAGATGGAATGACCTGTAGCGACCCATCCAACTGGGGGTTTGGTTACCATCAACTGGCCGTTTTTTCGGGCGCTGCGATAGGTAGGGAATGAGAAATGGAATGACCCGTAAAAACCATCCAAATGGTGGTTTACTTCCTTCCCTCATTCCCTGCTGAGCCCCGGCAAGTTTTTCTCCGTGCCAGCGACTGGCAGGCCCCTGGTGGAGCTATAGGTGTGGCATGAGACAGGCAATGTCCACTTTAGGCGTCAGGGCGGCCGCGGCAGACATTGTTGGCAATGAGGCCTCTGAGCATTCACGCCTGTCGCTGTCACTCATCCTTTGGTTCAAAGCGAATCGACCCAATCTGACCTTCTCGTTTCCCGGCTGCGGCAACAATCTTCTGTCATAGGTACACATGGGGGTTTTCCTTATGTTCCTGCAGATGAACAAAAAAGTGGTGTCCTCCTCAAGAAAAGGACTCACCCTTTGGCCCAAAAAGTTCCGCTTTCATTGGTCCTGTCGCCAAGTCCGCACTTAGCCCGAAATCAAATCCGGCGCTTTGCGAGGCTTCTTGCCGCTGGACATGAACGCCGATGGCCGGAAGGAATTGTTGGTGGCCGAGTGGGGCCTCAAACCCTTGAGGCGGCTCAAACGCCAAAAAGAGGGTCGAGACGGGAAACCGGAAAACCGGGAAACGTCGGGTTTGAGCAAGTGATGGGCTTGGGCTGTTCCTACCCTGGTGGTGGATTCTCTTTGTGGGTCTACCAGACCGAAAGCCATGCCCCCTATGTTTGGCTCGGTGTGTCAGGCGTCCTGCAACTCCCCACGGCTCCTTTTCCACAAAATGTTCTTGCAAGTCTGACCGTGTCCCTCAATATTTCAATATGTACATGAGGCACGCACTAAAGCGGTCCAAAACAGAAAGCTGGGGCTGCCTTCGGCCAGAAAAATGTGGGAGCTGGACGTGGCGGCAGGTTCTTCGAGACCGGCTGGTGCGAGATTTCGGACCCCTGCAATGCCAGAGGCAGGGTGCGGCGGGGGGGGGGTGCTCCGGCACAAGCAACTCCCGCGCACTGGGGATCAAGGCTCCAGAAGGACTTCGTCTCTGAGGGAAGAAGGCAAGCCTACGGGTTCCTTTCATTCATGCACCAATCGTGGTGAGTGTGTGTGTGTGTGTTCGTGTGTGCGCGCCGGTTATCCTTTACCAACTGTTGCAGCTGGCAGGAGTGATTGAAAACCCGCTAGGGTTCAGTGCAAGGATCATAGTATTGATCATGTTTCTCGCCTGGACAAGTACGCGTGTGATGAGATGCCAAGTCAGGTCCAATCCTTGACGCGTACTCAATAGAGGATTGCAAGTCAGATGTCGGCCATATTGTTCATGCCTGTTTGTTGAGTCACTAGATTCCGGTGACAAAGGGTGGTGATGACTTCGCAACGAGACTAGGAGTCACGACGGGCTCATGCCACCCAAGTGGCAATCAGTGCCGTCCTGTTCGTCAACTCAAGCAGTAGCAGGAAACTGCCGACGGCCCAAGCTTAAGCTCGTAAGGGCATGGTCACATTTGTGGCGTGTGTCTTTTTTGCTACCAAAGTATGGTTTCAAAGGAGAGGCAAAAGGAGAGCTGTTTGGACCGGGAGGGGTCCAAACTTGAGAAAGGGGGCACCGATCGTGAGTCAGCGAGCCTGGCCAGGGGTGTGTCTGAAAGTCACCGGCCAGTGCTCCTGCATGCTGGGCTACAGTGGCTCAGATT